TTTTTTTTAACCAATATATGCGTGCTATTTTTGTGTAGCTTACCTCTTCCAGAATTGAAAATTTAAGCGCTGCTATCGATTCCGTTGTTCACCTCTCGAAATCTGGCTTTGACTGGTTTCACGCAGTGTTACAGAAGTCGAGAGGTAGACAAAGGCCGTGATACATAACAATTTTGTAAATAGTCCATAGATTTCGTCAAGGATAATAAAAGGAATAAATTAAAAGTTTCTTAGCGTCATTTGTTATTAAGTTTGTCTATTAGGTCAAAATAAGAGTCGTCCAGCAAATCAGTGTTAGTTTGTGAATTTATACCGTTAGTCTGCTGTTTGATTATGTATCATTTCACTTATAAGTCTTTTGTTCCAATTTCGTTCAACGTCCAAGATTAATATGTTGTCCCAGTCAAATTCATGTTTGTAATTGATAATGTGTTCCGATACCACTGAGTGTTTTGAAGGGTCCAGTCTTTGATTATATTTATGCTCTTTAATTCTGGTTTCTAATTTCCTTTTCGTTTGGCCAACATATGACGCTTCACAATCTTTGCAGTTGATTCTGTAGATGACATTACTATTCTCCAATTTTTTATTTTTATCCTTATGTACCTTGACGAATTTTTCCAGTTTATTTAGGCAATGGTATCCTATTCTGAATTTGGATTTGTCAATTAACGATTCGACTTTTTCTGAAATTCCATTGATGTATGGAATGACTATAAAATTATTTGATTTTTCCGGATTGTTATTCGTGATTGTATTTGCATCTTCTTCTTTAACGTTCATAAGTTTTTTATTCTTTTATTAATATTATTAATATTATTAATAATATTATTATTATGCCTCGGTGGTCGAATTGGTGAGACGCCCCGCCCAGAGTGTAGGGAAGTCCAGGTTCAAGCCCTGGCCGAGGTGACATTTTTTCGCAATAAATTGTCTCTAATTAAAATTGCCAGTTGTGCCGGTTATCAATTCTCCTACACTGTTAATATCATTAATATCATTAAATGCCATTAAATATCGAGACTAAAAGATGTCGGGGCAATGCGTGACGATTTAGCCGTCAAGACTGAAGATAATTAAAAAAGAGAGTAGCAGCAGAACATTGGAGTGTCGCGAAAATCCACGCGAGGAGCCGCGCTATTAAGTTTCCACCGGCTGATCTTTGAAATTCAAAACTATGTCGGGCGCAGCGGGTCCTACCGATTACCCCCTTCGCGCCGCGTATGTAAATCATCTGTGCAAGGTGCAGCGCACCGAGGGTTACCGCGGCGGAATTGATTTTTTTTTGCCACGCACTAGTCACATAAAACACTTTCACCGGCGCGGCGCATCCGTCGTAACTCATTTCGCTACTGCGTGCGCCACGGCTGTCAGGCGAGATAAGATCCCGCGTGCAATACTTTCGCCTAAAACCGCGCCGTTAAATATTCGCGACCGCAACGGGTCCGGTTTTTTCTTTTTTTTTTGGAAAATGGAGTCGCCGCGCGAATACGAAGATCGCTCGGCACTTCGCGTTTTCTCGCGATGCCCGCGTTCGACGGTCGCCGAGAAAACGCGATTGTGCACCGTGCATTCCGGCATGAGCGTTTGAAATTTTAACGACGGCTTATCGAATCGATCTTATCGACTTAATTATGAAGAACATTTACATTGGAAATTGAAGGGTCCCCGCGAAATTAAGCTTCGAGCGTTCTAAACGGATGAGCGGGAGAGAGCCTGTCTCTCGGTTAACTTTAAATTAGTTTTACTCCAACGGAAATTTCATTTGAGACTTGGTTAACAGGATGCTCAATAATGGAGATTGTAAAAGCGCGAATAAATCCTGGCCGAGTCCTCGCCGGGGTAAAGGAACCGGGTCCGATTTTCGGACGTGCCAACGTGCAAGTGGCTGCTCGCGGAAAGCTGAATCCCACGACAATCGTCAGACGCCCGTTTCTACCGACGATAAAATTACCCTTTGTCTTTTTTTATCATTTTTAAAGCTAGAACGAGAGATAAAATCCAGGATCTATTTTCAATCCGTTGTTTTATATTGTCCGCTGCACTGCAAAAAAAATCTGATGGATTCAACCAGTCGTCTGTTAGAAAGTGGACGAATCAGAATTCCTTTAGGATTTACCAGATGTGTAGTGAAGTCATAGCAAACTTCTGATGGTTATGAAATATCTTTCACGGTAAATCCTGAAGGAGTTCTGATTCGTCCATTTTCTAACGGACGACCGGTTGAATCTGTCAGATTTTTCTCTCAGTGTGCGACAAAGCGTATCTTTTATTGCATTTATTAATTGTAATCTTGTTCCTTTTTACTTATTTTATTACTGTGTCATACACATTGCAATTATTTATTCTGTACATCCGACGAGGTGTGTAATCTCGATTATCGGTTGTTCGTTTTAGGTATTGCTTGAAAAGGGCCTGAACGCTTGGTCGAAACGTCGCTTTGTATTTTTCTTCCTTCATCAAACACGTGCCGGTTAAGGTCGACTAAAACTTACTTTATTATAGAAATATAAAGTAGGTCAAACCGGGACCCAAGTTAATCCGCATCGGTAGAAACGGGCGAGAGACAGACGCGTACACCACCCTCCTTGCAAACGTACGGTGAGACACCGAATTTTCCGAGACAGACAAGCGATACTACTTTCTATAATTTTATCTGGACGAAATTTCGGAAGATTCACTGCGCCGATCCCGGGCTACGCGAGAGCAGCGTCGCGAGCGCTGCACTCGAAGCGAAGGACTCGTCCTTGACGACATCCACGCTCCTTTAACATTTCCCGCAGCGGTCAGGCGCCGTCGTGGACTCGCGGCGCGTTTAAAGCGTTGAGCGAGCGAGGTGAACGAAGAACGGGGAGGAGCGTAAACTACATGATACCACACGTACCACTAGTGCCATGTCGCGCGGTTTCGACCCCTGGACGTGGAGGATTCGCGCGCCCAGCTCGAGTAGTTTCCTGCGCAGCTGTTTCACGGAGACGCCGAGCGTCTGCATGTAGCGACGCCTCAGCTTCATTTGAGCGGGGGTAGGACCGCCAGGTTGCCGTCGGCGCGCCGGAAACAACCACTGACCGTCGACCGGCCGCCTCGTCGGGCTGACATAAACGCACCAAACGCGCACCGGACGGCACTTTCGCCCGCCGCGATCTCCACGAGCAGTCCCCGGTCGCGCTGGTCGCTACTGTCGTCGTTGTCGTCGTTGTCGTTGTCGTCGCCGTCGCCGTCGTCGCCGTCGTCGTCGTCGTCGTCGTCGCACCGACCCGGTCACTCGTAATTGCTGCTAGTCGCCACAGCGGAACCGGCCGACGGTTCCGCGCTCGGGAGAGCCGGATGGTAGCACTTGGCGACGGGCACCGTACGACGGCCCCGAGATCGCGGCCGCGCGCGCTTTCGCGAGTGGCGAACACACTGTGTGGCTGGCGGTGGCACTCTCTCGGTTCCCGCGGCTCTCTCGGTCCACCGACGGCGACGATACGATCGATCGGCGGGGCCCCGTTAGAAGGAAGCGACCCCGTTCCCACTTAATTCGATTGTATCCGGTGCTCCGCGCTCCGCCAGCGATCCCACTTGACCATAAGCGTTACGGTCGTTTAACGGCCTGCGTCTAATGGGAGCAGCGGCGCGACTCCGTCGTCGCGTTATCCCCTTCCCTGCCGCCGTATATCGCTGCGAGAGGAGGGGAGGAGGCTTCTCTCTCTCTCTCTCTCTCTATCCTTCTGGCCGTCGATCGCCCCTGTCGCCTCCCCGCGGCGCGAGATTCCCTCGTAGAGATTCCCAGAGATTTCCGGGAGAGAGGAAGAGAGACGCGCTACGCGCGAGGCCGCTATATGCACTCTCGTTCAGTCAGTGTTATCGGGAAGCTGGCTGACTGGCTGGCTGGCTGACTGGCTGGCTGGCTGGCTGGCTGGCTGGCGTGCGCGCGCGCCGTCTCGCAGACGTTGAATGACGTCGAGATATATAGCCGGCAGCAGCGGCAGTCTAGACGGCTCCGACCTTGACTCCCGAAATCATCTCGCGCGCCCGCGTCGCCGTCGTCCTCGCTCGTCCACCCGTTGAGCGGTCCGGTTATCACCCGCCGAGATGCACGTCGCGCGTATCAGGGATCTCCGCCCTCGTGCATCAATTCGTCTCACGGTCTTCGGGAAAGCAGGGGGGAACGCGCGCGCGCGCGGCGAGGGAAACGGGGAGGCTGAGTAGCGGAGTAGCGAGGACGGAGAGAGAGAAAGATCCAGCGAGGGATAAGCGGCTCCGAGAGGGACGGGGCTGTTGGCCGAGTTCCCGCCGCTGATCTGGCCCGGAGCGCAGGCGAGAAACGTCAATGCGCGTCGCCCGGGGTGCGTGCGGTCACGCGATCGTCAACTCGCGTCGCGCCGACGGCGGTGGCCGGTGTTCTCCTTCGGGTCGGACACAACGCCGGAGAGAGAGAGAGGGAGGACCGTCGTCCGCGTCGTTGCTCGGCGTCGCCTCCGCGCGCGCGGGGAAATCGCGGCGGAGCGAGGATGGTTCTTCGTGCCCGTCGGCGGCGACGGCGGCGGCGACGGCGGCGACGACGACGCTCGTCGACACAACACCCGACGCATTCCAGGTTCAGCGGCAGACTGAACGCGTCCGGTGTCTGTCAGGCCGCAGCACCGTCGACTCCGCCGCCCTTCCTCGTGCCCCTCCGCCGCCCCTCCATTTACTCCGAAGCCGCAGAGCGTTTCCCCCTCGGCTCCGCCGCACCACGCTGTGTCCACCACCGCCACCGCCACCGCCACCGCCGCCGCCGCCGCCGCCGCCGCCGTCGCTGCCGCCGCCGCCGCCGCCGCCGGCGCAGTGGCCGCATTTACCTCCTCCTCTCACTCCTCTTCTCACGAAGCGCCGCGCCACGCTGCGTCGCGTCTCGTCTCGTCTCC